GAGAAAGACTTCACAGTTATTGAAGTCGAGTGTTTGGGCGCCTGTGTTAACGCACCTATGATTCAGATCAATGATGACTACTATGAGGATCTAACCAATGAAGATGTCAAACAAATTATCGCTGATATTAAAGCCGGCAAAAGACCAAAAGCCGGTCCCTCAGCCCAAAGTGGGCGACTGGCCTGTGAGCCCAAAGGAGGCCTCACTTCACTCACATCACCCCCTCCTGGACCGGGATTTGGTTGTCGTTCTGATCTGTAGTTTAATTATAATACTGTATAGACTTAAGACTAAATAGGTTTGTTTTAATTGAATAAAAATATATCAATCAATACAAGACTTAGTTATCATTGATTAGTGACATAATTGTAGATTCAAATCAATCAGTATTACAATAATTGTGTGAAAGACTATACGGTATTATCACGTGTTGGCCGTAAAATATTCTTTAGCGAAACGCACGGAATCTAAGCGAACATTAAATAGCGGATGAATGGGAGCCTAAACCAGAAATCAACGAATTTAGTCACATTTCACTCATTACTCTATCAGTTGATCCAATACTAACCACTTTATTCTCTTGTGGGCCGACAATCAATTGACTCGACAGAGAATTTTGTGCGATTGATAGTCCGGACAAACAATAGCAGGTGTGATAATAATCACGATTTTTGCCCGGTTTGTCGATTAGACCTCCGCTCGCCTCTTGACAACAGCACAATAGGTATTCCTGTAGTGCTCTTTGATTGAACAACCATTTATTGGCCGGAATTAACTGCGGATCTGTTCGGTAATTCATAAACAGTTTATTTAATGTATAAAATACGAGAGAGAGAGAGAGAGGGAGAGAGAGAGCATACTTTTTTGTGCCAAAAATACGTGAACAATGGGTAGTACTGCTGCCTCCCAGAAGGAATAGCACCCGTCGACCAATTTGTTTGTTCTGTAATGCAATTGCATTGTAAACAGCAATAGTTTACATGAATGAGTGGCCATACCTGCCAGCAAACCCGCCCTCATATCTGTGCTGTTTGTTAATAACCCATTTGAGCAGTGATTTGGTATTACATGAGTCCAAACAGTTCAATAGCACGAGAGCGGCCACAGCGCAGAACGTATAGCCTCCGTGTGCCTCATGTCCAGGCGCTGCACCGAACCCACCCTCATATGTCTGACACGATAGCAGCCATTGAGGAGTGTTTTCAAAGAGATCGTCGTCTTCAAGGTTCAAGAGTTTGGCCACAGATATGGCACAATAGGCCCCTCTAATCACAATATAATAAATATGTTATAAATGCAAACAAATATCCAAATCATATGAAGACCGAACCGGATATCGATTTCTCCGCCCGAATGCATCCGAAATGAGCCGTCGTTTTGCTTCATTTCGACAATAAATTTCTTGATTTCCTGCCGATTAATAGATTTGAGTGCACTTTCACTGCACAGTGTCACCAAAGCATTGACAGCCGCTTCACAACAAAACATATCGTTATAATTACCATCATTAGAGTTCAATGAATTTAGACTAACCATAAGTGGTGGCCAAATGTGATATCTGTTGGGGTCCCCCACCATATCCGCCCTCGCGATTCTTGCAATTCGTTAAGAATTTGATTATTTTTATAGCATTTAATTCTGTAATTAAAATGATAGCCGTTTAGTAGAGTTGACACATAGTGTTGGGATTTTAGTAATGACCCAAATGTGAGTCCAAATCAAGAATGGCTAGGGAGTGGGTGATCCAGTAGGTCAGCCACGGACGGGACGCGTCCAGACATTGGAACGACTGATGCAATGGTTGGCTGAGACCACGGATTAAGTACTTCTGGTGCTTATCGCGCAGCAAATGAGGCGCTCTTTACATGTGAATACAAGTAATCATTAGATTTGCCATTCAATGGACATAATGTGTGCATATATTCTCACTGATTGTCATTCTCTACAATGCCTTCAATCTCTTCATAACATCTCTCAACCGATTCCTCAACTTTCCTCTAAAGTAAGTAAATGTGTGAATGAATGTGAGCTCAAGAATGTTCGGGAAGTCCTACTTGTTCTTCACTCGTATGGCTAACGAGTCCGTCGTTGTTATACTTGGAAAGCAGTTCTCTGTTAAGACATCTCATAGTAAGTAAATGTGTGAATGAATGTGAGCTCAAGAATGTTCGGGAAGTCCTACTTGTTCTTCACTCGTATGGCTAACGAGTCCGTCGTTGTTATACTTGGAAAGCAGTTCTCTGTTAAGACATCTCAACATCTTTTGCAACTAAAAGTCATAATTAATGCAAAATTAATGCAAATTTGTGGCAAAATAAGGAGAAAGTGTGAGGTTTTGGTGAATGGATTAGTCGTGGGTTTGCATGAAGTGATGATAACCTGAAAACCTACTTCGCTAGTGGTGTGGTTGCAAGTGATCTCCAATTATGGCAATCGAGGGTTGGTTTACAAGACTTGACAGCACTTCAAGACATGCACTTCACGAGCAAACTGTAGGCACTGTTTACATGTTATCCGATATGTGGGCT